AACAAGTCTAAATTGAAAACAACGTTCAAACCTATGATTGCGTTGGATAAAAACCGCAATTTTTTTACATGTGCATGGAAAACAAATTTCTTTGTACAGGGGTCTAAATACAGCACAAACAACATTTTCCAAAAGACCATAAAAGTGAAAAAGTATATTTTAACAAAACGCATTTGACTAGCAGGTCGAACAACGGATGTTCTTAAACCCTACTGACTGCCATGGCGATTGCCAAATTAACGGATCACAGATGTAACACAATGGATCTTAATTATACTAATTTAATACCAAACAGAAAACAATAAACTTGCGGAAAAGATGGTATACCGCAAACATGAGGTGCAAACATTTGTACACCATATCCGGATTTCGACAATTAATGTCTCTTCAGTGATGTTAGGAATCGAAACGGTATTTGGAAGCCATATAATTTACCTCAATTTGGGATTGACTCCTGAATTTTGAAGAGTCGAAATAGGATGAACGGATCATATAAACCCGAAGGCAAATATAATACAAGCCCAAACAAAAAAATATAAACAAGTCTAAATTGAAAACAACGTTCAAACCTATGATTGCGTTGGATAAAAACCGCAATTTTTATACATGTGCATGGAAAACAAATTTCTTTGTACAGGGGTCTAAATACAGCACAAACAACATTTTCCAAAAGACCAAAAAAGTGAAAAAGTATATTTTAACAAAACGCATTTGACTAGCAGGTCGAACAACGGATGTTCTTAAACCCTGCTGACTGCCATGGCGATTGCCAAATTAACGGATCACAGATGTAACACAATGGATCTTAATAATACTAATTTAATACCAAACAGAAAACAATAAACTTGCGGAAAAGATGGTATACCGCAAACATGGGGTGCAAAAATTTGTACACCATATCCGGATTTCGACAATTAATGTCTCTTCAGTGATGTAGGGAATCGAAACGGTATTTGGAAGGCCATATAATTTACCTCAATTTGGGATTGACTCCTGAATTTTGAAGAGTCGAAATAGGATGAACGGATCATATAAACCCGAAGGCAAATATAATACAAGCCCAAACGAAAAAATATAAACAAGTCTAAATTGAAAACAACGTTCAAACCTATGATTGCGTTGGATAAAAACCGCAATTTTTATACGTGGGCATGCAAAACAAATTTCTTTGTACAGGGGTCTAAATACAGCACAAACAACATTTTCCAAAAGACCAAAAAAGTGAAAAAGTATATTTTAACAAAACGCATTTGACTAGCAGGTCGAACAACGGATGTTCTTAAACCCTGCTGACTGCCATGGCGATTGCCAAATTAACGGATCACAGATGTAACACAATGGATCTTAATTATACTAATTTAATACCAAACAGAAAACAATAAACTTGCGGAAAAGATGGTATACCGCAAACATGAGGTGCAAAAATTTGTACACCATATCCGGATTTCGACAATTAATGTCTCTTCAGTGATGTTAGGAATCGAAACGGTATTTGGAAGGCCATATAATTTACCTCAATTTGGGATTGACTCCTGAATTTTGAAGAGTCGAAATAGGATGAACGGATCATATAAACCCGAAGGCAAATATAATACAAGCCCAAACGAAAAAATATAAACAAGTCTAAATTGAAAACAACGTTCAAACCTATGATTGCGTTGGATAAAAACCGCAATTTTTATATATGTGCATGCAAAACAAATTTCTTTGTACAGGGGTCTAATTACAGCACAAACAACATTTTCCAAAAGACCAAAAAAGTGAAAAAGTATATTTTAACAAAACGCATTTGACTAGCAGGTCGAACAACGGATGTTCTTAAACCCTGCTGACTGCCATGGCGATTGCCAAATTAACGGATCACAGATGTAACACAATGGATCTTAATTATACTAATTTAATACCAAACAGAAAACAATAAACTTGCGGAAAAGATGGTATACCGCAAACATGAGGTGCAAAAATTTGTACACCATATCCGGATTTCGACAATTAATGTCTCTTCAGTGATGTAAGGAATCGAAACGGTATTTGGAAGGCCATATAATTTACCTCAATTTGGGATTGACTCCTGAATTTTGAAGAGTCGAAATAGGATGAACGGATCATATAAACCCGAAAGCAAATATAATGCAAGCCCAAACGAAAAAATATAAACAAGTCTAAATTGAAAACAACGTTCAAACCTATGATTGCGTTGGATAAAAACCGCAATTTTTATACGTGTGCATGCAAAACAAATTTCTTTGTACAGGGGTCTAAATACAGCACAAACAACATTTTCCAAAAGACCAAAAAAGTGAAAAAGTATATTTTAACAAAACGCATTTGACTAGCAGGTCGAACAACGGATGTTCTTAAACCCTGCTGACTGCCATGGCGATTGCCAAATTAACGGATCACAGATGTAACACAATGGATCTTAATTATACTAATTTAATACCAAACAGAAAACAATAAACTTGCGGAAAAGATGGTATACCGCAAACATGAGGTGCAAAAATTTGTACACCATATCCGGATTTCGACAATTAATGTCTCTTCAGTGATGTTAGGAATCGAAACGGTATTTGGAAGGCCATATAATTTACCTCAATTTGGGATTGACTCCTGAATTTTGAAGAGTCGAAATAGGATGAACGGATCATATAAACCCGAAGGCAAATATAATACAAGCCCAAACGAAAAAATATAAACAAGTCTAAATTGAAAACAACGTTCAAACCTATGATTGCGTTGGATAAAAACCGCAATTTTTATACATGTGCATGCAAAACAAATTTCTTTGTACAGGGGTCTAATTACAGCACAAACAACATTTTCCAAAAGACCAAAAAAGTGAAAAAGTATATTTTAACAAAACGCATTTGACTAGCAGGTCGAACAACGGATGTTCTTTAACCCTGCTGACTGCCATGGCGATTGCCAAATTAACGGATCACAGATGTAACACAATGGATCTTAATTATACTAATTTAATACCAAACAGAAAACAATAAACTTGCGGAAAAGATGGTATATATATATATATATATTTAGAGAGAGAAAGACTTTTTACAAGTCTTCTCACTCTTTTTCAGGATCCTGGACCCATATCTGACAATTATTGCAACTTTATTTACTTTGCCTTATTTTCCTACGCTGATTGGATAAAATACCAATTATTATGGTGACAATCAGAATTTTACTTTAACCTGTTTCAGAGTTAAGGACAATCCTAAATAAACTACTTGAAAAATACTTAATACTAAAACTATAAAATTAGATAAAGATATAGCTATCTAGTTTAATTTTTCCCCATTGATTGACAAACCCTGACAACTCATCAACTCAAAAGGAAAAATTGAGAAATCTTGTACATTATAAAAAGCATTATGAAATATTGTAAAGTGTACCAACAAATAAATGGCTATTCAGTTGATACACATGCAATCCCCGAGAGAAGATATTTTCTTTTTTCTTCCTGTTTTTAGGATGAGGGAGTTGTTAACTTTTACCACTTTTGTACTGCATGTTAAATCAAACATTTTTCATATTTCTGAAAGCATAGCAGTTTTATACTGCACTTCCAATAAACTTTGATAAGCATTCAAGTTTACATTTATTGACAAAATTTGGCATAGTATAAAATTCTTTTCTGCATACTTACTTTTTTTTTAATATGTCCTAATGTTAAACTTATGTGTGATTCAAAGCTCACAGTTTTACTTGACTTATAAGTTTGAGGAAAAGTTTAATGCACAGAAAAAAAGGGAGATAACTCAGATTTAGAAGTAAATGATATTCATTATCCATTTTTTTCTTTGCAATTATGGAAAGTAGTTAAGGATCTATTACAGTAACAGTAATCTATTTCATAAGCTGGAGTTACCTCCCATATTTTATAAGAGTACAAAAATAAAGAAAACATAAAATGTGTGAAAGTAATTAAATTTACTAATTAATGATAATAGAAATATTACTGATAAATCAATATTAGTCCATCAACATAATCTAGGTATCTAGGAATTTGAAATCAAAGATACGCATATATATATACAAACTTATTACTCTACTAGAGATAAATAGAAACAGTAATAGAAAATGTAATTCAATACCAACAATTTTATGTAGTTGCATCTGATCCACTATCAAGGGAGATAATTCATGCGAAATAAAAAGATAAATATTAATCATTTGATGATTATATGTGAAAATGGAATAAATATGGATATGTGTAAAATTCAGTCGAATTTGTATCTCATGTTACAAAAATTCAACTCAAGAATGTTAAATTTCTTTTATGAATTCCATGTTTAATTCAGATAAAATTAAATATAAATTTTTCACATGAACTTTGATTCATGTTAATTTAATGTGAAATTGTTCACGTGAATTTAGCATGAAATTTTTCATGCGAATTTAACATGAACATTTTCACGTGAATTTAACATGAAATATTCACGTGAATTTCACGTGAAAAATGATTTTTTTTAAAGTAAATTAAGATTTTCAATGGAATATATGATACATGTAATACAAGGTATTAGCCGTTAACACAAGTTTTAAGTTTGGGTCAATTTTTTTTTCAACTTGGACACAATTAATATTTTTTCATGTGAAAAATTTAACGTGAAACTCACATGAAATAAATTCACGTGAAACATTTAACGTGAATTTCACGTAAAATGAGATTCACGTGAAATTCACGTGAACAAAATTTGCCTGTGTAACACATGCGTTACACACGCGTTTTACTATACATGTGTCAAATATCGCATGTGTCACATGCATTTTCCAAGACATGCGTGACACAGGTGTTTTTATGACACATGCGATTCACATGCGTGTGTTGCGCAAGTGAACGCATGTGTACCACGCATGATTCCCATGCGTGGCAAGAAACATGTGTATTACGCATGTGACACACCTGTGACACATGCGTTTTTAGGTACATGAGTTACACATGTGTGGCATTTTTGCCCTAGTATAGTCTTTTTATAATGCATAATAAAATTTACCACCAAGAGCTCCGATTAGATTGGTCGATGAAAATCGGAAAAAATCACTAATTCTATCATTCATAACTGAATTTCTGGTAACAAACTGTCTCATACTGTTGAAACTTTGTCTGAATGGACTGTGTTGGCATTCATTAAACGTGATAGTCTGGTCCATTGTAAATCTGGATGCGAACCCATTCATTGAATATTTTCTTGTTGAACACGATTTAATAACGCCTATGAAATAAGAGTCAAAAATTATAAGAACTATATCATGCTTCTAGAGATCTTCACCAAAATTAACATTACATAATTCCTTGTCGTCACTGATTCCCGCTAAGAGAAAGACACAACAACAATAAAAAAAAAATACGAGTATTTCTTTCTTGGTATAAAACAAATGTATTGCATTTGATCATATTGTATAAAAGTCTTTATTATATACTAAGTAGTAAATACAGGTAGAATGTATTAATACAGTTGATGACAATCGTGCTGTATCAGCCATCCGTGATGATATCGATATCAGTCACGATTGCAAAGGCTTTATCACACCCCTGATCTGTATGACGTCACATAATCAATAACAGTAACAGTTACAAAAGCTTTCTCTTTTTAACCCGGATTTGTTTTCTCTCAATCGATTTATGACTTTTGAACAGCGGTATACTTCTGTTGCTTTTATCTACCCTTTATATGTATTTCGTCATTTGTCATGAATAAATACATAAGAGAGATTAGTTGTATTTGAGGAAAGTGTATATAATGAAGTGTATATGATATGGCTTTTTCAATATCACACACCGTATCAACCCTCAACCAATATAATCCCTCGAGCAGAGCTCTTGGAATAATATTGGTTTCTCGGGTTGATACAGGTGTGATATTGAAAAAGTCATATGATATTTTTTTCCCCGTTCATATATATGTCTTCCTGTCTTGCTAGCTTTGCTTTGTTCCATAATATTTTGGATTTTTGTTTTGATTTCAATACTGATTGGTAGGTGTTTTTCTGGTGTATTGTATGTTACAATGTATGTATTTATACTGAATAGTTTTAAAAACTTAAGAATTGTACATTATTTTAATGACTGATGTCTAATCAATAAAAAATCTTTTACGCTTTACGATGGAAATGAAAGGGAGACTGTAAATTATATTGTCAATTTACTATGATATAGAAGGCTTGTTTGATTTCGACTTTTCTTATCTGTTGTCTCGATAGTTATGTAGTAATTTAAGATTTTCGTTATTTACAATAAATATGTATGTATGGGCAACACAAAAGTTTATAAAAATTATACAATTTAATACATTTGGCATATATTTTCAGTTAAATTAGAATACCTCTGGAAACGCTTGTGAACTGTTCCGTGAACTCATCAAATGATATACTTTCCAGATAATCCGGGACTGTCCCATGTACAAGTGTCTGAACTATGAACTCTGACGAAAAGGTAAAGAATTCTTGTCTAATTAAGACTATCTCGCCGCTTGCATACTTTATTAAAGCAGTTCTGTTCAGTTCTCCACCTAAACAGAAAATTGGTTCATCATACATTGTTTTGTTTATTTTGTCTTACTTTTATTTATCGACTGATATATCTCAGTTGCGAAAATATGAACGTGCATATAATTCTATACATATTTTGAATAATATAAAACCTCTCTTATCATAATACCACAATATAGGGACAATTACATTGTTGATTGAACGCTCGCTTTATATTATGCGACATAGGTATTTGGGTGGAAAGTGGCTGTCAAAATTTGAAATTTGTATTTTAAGTTTAACAAGGTACATTTTCATTTTCATATGATTGACATACGAGAAATGCAATATTTAATAAAGCTTGCATCCTGAAAATTGGCGCTTATATTTTTATAATTTGGTCTTGTACTAGTGTCATGTGTCTGTTTGAAAAATATCTATGAACTAATCTTACTCATAATAACAAAAATTACATATTCGATGAAAACGGTTGGTAGATACTAAAAGAGCCATTCATTGACGTAAATCAAATGAAAGCCAGAACTTAATTCAAATAAAAAAGACAGTAGGCATTAGAACATTGCACAGAAAGGCGGCTATTGAGTAAAGTAACTAAAACGTTAACCAATATAAATGCATATGCCCAACACAGTACTTTGTTCTGTTGCAGTGTTCGAATGCGCAGTGTTACCTTTACACTACAGACAAAAGTAAAATCACAAAAATACTGAACTCCGAGGAAAATTCAAAAAGTAACGTCCCTAATATAGTCTGATATTCCGAACTTAAATATATTCCTCTAAAATGAATACTACATCTCATAGTGTACACACCTGTCATCATGAAGCCATTTTTAGCCTTCTTCTCCTGTGGAACAGCAAACAGCCATCCAATGATGTCACCGATTGGCTGCAATATGTTCATCATTGTTCTCACAGTGTTTTGTCTACTTCCTATATGTGTTTCTATTCGTCCATTGGTTGTATATACGTGAGAAAGTAAGTCCATATTCACTATGGCTTTGTTGTTTAATACACCATTAACTTTACCTCTCAGTATTAATCTTTTTCCTGTTCATGTGAAGACAAAAGATTTTATTTCATCTTTTGTCACGAAGATTGACGTAGCAAAGTAATCTTACTGCTAATAGGAATATATTAGTTTCAATTCTCGTCACTTCTCTTGGATTAAAAAGACAACAAAAATACCATGATTTTCAAAATTAGTGGACAGACAAATACTTGAAAAAGGTTAATTATATTCAAGTAACCGTAAAAATATTACACAAAATTATGAATTACATATCAGTTGTGCAGTGCTTACCTTAAGAGAGTTAAGCAACTTAAAAAGTAAAATAACAAAAATATCGAACTCCGAGGAAAATTCAAAACGAAAAGTCCCAAATCAAATGGCAAAATCAAAAGCTCAAACACATCAAACGAATAGATAACAACTACCACCATTTTCTACATAAGGAAATGCCTGTACCAAGTCAGGAATATGACAGTTTGTTTACATTCGTTTGATGGGTTTGAGCTTTTTATTTTGCCATTTGATAAGGGACTTTCCGTTTTGAATTTTCTTTGAAGTTCGGCATTTTTGTTATTTTACTTTTTACAATATTCATTGTTGAAACAACAGTCATTTAGGAATTTTGTAAACAATTAAATGTTCACAAACTAGATCTGACAATAGTTAAACAATTTTAAATACGGAGATAGAAAATATCATGTTTGATTTGCTATACTATTTTACACTTAATCAATTCACTAACCTGTTTTCAAACATCGAATTCCATTCCCGTAGAACGGCGTTTTACATTTGCAACAGGCGCCTGTGTCAAAGTACACATACTTGGCGTTGACATGACAGGTATCTGCTCTTAAACATGCAACAACAGTCTTAGAAACCCCAGATGTTGTGTCTGAAATATATCAAGGACACACTTTGTACTTAGAATAGTTTAGAAAGGAATGTAACGCTTAGCAGGGAAAAAAGTGATTACAGCATTTATGTCATACTTTTAACAACACATGCATTTGCTGTCAAATTGCAGTATATGGTACAATGACTATATTATACATTTATGTTTTATTATCTGTACATTATATGTAATTGTCATGACATAGGGGAATGAACAAAAACGCCACTTTATTATAGTCTCTTAAATTCGAAAATCAAAACGTGTTATAAATTCATAGAACATCGTTCAAAAGTTATTTGTCTGTCAGATTTCTGGTTTTCCAGAGGAATAAAAGGTTATGCAAAAATGAATCTCGTAATAGTATTATCATGAATTTGATACTTTTGCTTTTTGCAACCCCTAAAACCAGCAAACCTTTTTAGACCTATTTCTCTGACCTGAGTCGGTCTGAAGGAAAGCATCTTATTTCAGCCAACATATCACTAAAAATAATTAAAAAAAAAAACGTTGTCCAAAGAGCTTGCAAGCGAGATTATATACGAATACCAGTACTGACAACGGTATACCATAATACGTCTCGAAGTTTTGGCTTTCCTATAAGTTCAACATAAAAAAATGTAAATAATGCCGAACACTACAAACTCTTAACCGAGATAAAAGATGTCTGAATTTAAAGATTTCATTTAAGGTCACACGTAAATAGAATTATACATAAATAAATACCGCCTGATATTTGAATGATTTATTTAGGACCCTTCAATTCTCCTCCACTGTCCACTATCCTGATTTGTATACTAAAGGAGATGAAGGGTATACCTCGAAAAACACAACAACCACACACAAAAGATAGCATACAGTCTTCAACAATAGGTTTATATACAATATATCAAGCTTTTAATCGTACTAAATTAAGAATATGTGAATAAATTTAACAGAAAACTTTCACCAAAAATTACCACATTATACAACCACCGACGAGCTTCCTTATTTACGACAGGTACATGTATATATATGGCGGGGTCAGACTAGTTTCAAGTTTTTTCTCTGACCGTATTCTCTATATATACCGACTTCCTCAAGCTGTAATGAAGATTGTCATAAAGATTAATGGAAGTTCTCTTCGTTTAAAAACAATAATAGGTTTATGTTCAATAGTGAGCACTATTTCCATGTTGACGGAATAGCAATGAAGATATATCTTCCGTCATATGCCAATATCTATAGGGGCATTTAAAAAAGGCAAAGACCCAACAGTTCTGTTGAATATATTTCTTTTGGCTCGGTGGCATTGACGATGTTGAAGTGAAAACGATATAATAATATTATTGACCATGCCATCAACTCATCGTCATTCCCTAAATAACATATACTTATAAAAGCTTTGTCTCCCAATTAAAGAATTTTACCATGTTAACTGATTTTGTATTGCAAGTACATAGACATACAGTATATGTTCATCGGGCTATCATCCTAAACAAGAACACTGTAATTGAAACTTTCCTTTATAATTCTGCAAATTTGTCCAATAAATAAAAGATAACTCGAATAAACGATTACAGGAGCGTATTATAAATTTCATCAAACGAGGCTATAGCAAAAAAGACATAACATCTTCGGTCGAGATAACTTTTACAACAAACTAGAGACTCTGTAGATCCTGTGTCGTTCACCTAGAACTATACATCTTCGGCAATGGACACTCTCTCTCATGGTAGATCTCTTTTATTGCTGATCATTTTCTTTGTGCACAGGTTCTCTCTTTATAGTTTCTCTTCTAAAGATTTTTGTCAAAACACAGAAAACGGCAAAAAGCGTCATTCAAGATCCATTACTCGTGTAGAAAAACAACTGACAATTTCATATATCCTAGACTATGCTGACATTTTTAGATTTTGTCTTGCTGATGACTTTTGCTATTTTAAGTTTCTATAAATCCATTATTGTTTTTAAAAAATTAGTAAAATTGTTATTTAAGGGCTCTAACTCCTATAAGAAGACAACTGACTCATTTATCTATGCTGACATATTTGCAGATCTTGTCTTGCTGATCATTTGTACTTTTAAAAGTTTATATTTATCTATTATAGTTTTTAAGATAATAGGCAAAACGCCTAAATTGGCACAAATTGTCCTTTTAAGGGCACTAACTCCTATAAATAAAGGGTTGATCAACCTTTTCAACAATTTGACCTATTTGTAGATCTTGTCTTGTGAATCAATTTTTTTCTTTTTAAAGTTTCTTTCTATCTGTTTTATTTTAAAATAATGGGCATTCACACCAAACATAAATAACAATTGTCATATAAGGGAAACTACTCAATACAAGGAGTCGACGCACTCTTTCAGCCATATTTACTTATTTTTATATCTTGTACGGCTAATACAAACGCTATTGAAGATGAGTATCATTTTTCATTTAGAATGTGATAAATATAACGATATCAGAAATAAATATATATAAAGAGTTGTTACTATGAGAGACCATCGACTTTTAAATTAGTGCAACTGTGATCTGTGAGAAATGTCAAAGAGCTAAACAACCTGGAAAACTATTTATATTTAGAAAAGGCTCGTAATTGTTAATTATTCAAATGTTTTTTGTTAGTTGAATACATGTATGTCTATATGTCCTACCCCACTAAATTATTGCATTGATTTGTATAATTTGTGTATTATGCTGTATATTTTCTGTTGGATATGCATATTGTGTAAATTCAATAGTCTGTATTTGCTTACGGAAATAAAGTATTATTATAATTTTTTTGTGTTTTAAAGTTTCTATCTGTCTATTATAGTTGAGGAACACTCTGAACTACTGTAAATTCAGAAATTAATGCGAGGTTTGTATTAATGCGAATAATGCGACTTGGTGATCATCGCAATAATAACAACTCGCATTCTGTATCTGATACATATATCTGTATGCAGATTTTCTTGAAATCGCAATAATTAATCTCGCATTTTTTTCTATTCTATGTAAATCGCAATAATAAATGAACGCAATAATTTCTGAATTTACAGTATTCATGATCGTTCACGTGCCATCCATGTGATTTCTGTGCAGCCTAGTTCTAAAAGACACGCTGCTGAGTGCTGATTTGCTTTTTAAATATAGCTTCTATATATTGTATATGGTATTTATGTTTGTACCTGCTAGACGACCCAAATAGCGTCTCTAAGACAGTTCTGTGACTATTTTCTAGACGCATTTTTTTATTTCTCTTTCAAGGTTTTGAATACTAATTCTTATCAATATAAATGATTAAGACCTTATTAAATTTGACAAATCCCTCAAATTATTATACTTTTCGTACATTCGAAATTCTATACTATATTATGTATAAATGCATTAACGAAAATACCGAGCTCCAATAAAAATTCAAAAAGGGGGAAGTCCATAAAAAGTGACAAAATCAAAAGTTAAACTTGATCAACTAACGGAACGAATGGAAAACAACTGTCATATTCCTGATTTTGTACAAGCTTTTTCTGAAGAAAACAACTGCATAATAATTGTTTAAAGAAAGGATATCTGTGTTTGATGAAGATGGCGATACGTTTAATTTTTGTACGTTTTTGTATTGCTGACGAATAGTACTGCGGATTAAAAACAAATGCGCTTTGAAATATTGGCCTTTGAGTTTTACTATATATATTCAAAGACATAATTAAATACTTACGATTTCTGCATTTGATCTTTCCGCGAAATCTACCGCATGTTTGAGTCTCTCTGTTTTTCCTATTAATCTCTTGGCAACATTTGTCGACTTCTTTTCTGTCTTCTCCGATTTTCAAATGCATTTTTTCACAAAAACAGTTCATGTAAATGACATTTTTAACATCAGCATAAGGGGTTTTACCAAAGTAAACATCATTTGATCCCAGAACATGCCCCTTCACTTCCATTACAGAATCAAACCTATGAATCTGTTCATTTAAAAGTACTGTTACTGAAAGATACGTTCCTTCATCTAAAATCCGTTCTACTATCAACTTATGCCAGCGGTTGTCGTTCCACTTCTTGACCCTTTCTGTGTCATAGGGTAGTATAGAAGATCTTGTTTTACTATTGACACGATAAGTGAATACCAAATCACCATCTTCAATAGTTACAGTAAATTGATGTTGTTTGCTATTGTCGGACTCTAAGTGCACTAACAGGGCACTGCTCCTACGAGTCATAAAATCAAAGCTGAATATATCATTGATGCAAACATCTTTTATACTATGAAATTCGGTCTGGTATGGTAAAATGAAGCCAATTGTTTGTAGAATCAACATAAAAATACTGTACAACTTTAAAAGAAACCCTTTCATTTTTGTAGCATTTCGTTGGAAATGATTCTACCAGAAGAGACACACACTTGTATCTGTTGTAGTGCGCACTAACATTTATATTGTTTGAAAAGTTAGCATTTCTATTTATCTGTTTTGTAAAATTAATCAAGCAGGATATAATGGTACAACATGAATAATAATTCCTTATTGAAAATGACATTTATATTATAATTGATAATAAAGAGCAACTTAGTTTATTATTGTAGGTGCAATACAAATATCACCGTTTGAAGTTAAATGTTGAAAACTCAGAGATAGCTATGTGTGGTTTTTATTTTACATATTTCTTAGAAATCTACCAAATCATATAATTGTCTATTTGATTCTTTACACCGATTAAAGACTCCTTGGGTGAATATAGTTGATATGAATATTAAATTGAGATTTAACAGATTCGTGAATACGACAGCAATCAAAGGCGAACAATAACCAAAAGCGAGTAAGAGGCATTATACAGTCTATAACAATAGACATATCACTACACCATATGTCAAGTTCTAAAACGTTCCTAGTAAGAGGGCGTTATACAAAACTTAAGAATAGACATATCACTATAACATATGTCAAGTTCTAAAACGTCCCTAGTAAGAGGGCGTTATACAAAAATTAAGAATAGACATATCACTATACTATATGTAAAGTTCTAAAACGTCCTTAGTAAGAGGTCGTTATACAAAAATAAAGATTAGACACATTACTATACTATATGTCAAGTTCTTAATTGTCCATAGTAAGAGGGCACTATACAGTCTTTAACAATAGATATATTACTATACTATATGTCAAGTTCTTAATCGTCCCTAGTAAGAGGGTGTTATAAAGTCATTAACAATAGACATATCACTATACCATATGTCAAGTTCTAAAACGTCCCTAGTAAGAGGGCGTTATACAAAAATTAAGAATAGACATATCACTATACTATATGTTAAGTTCTTAATCGTACCTAGTAAGAGGGTGTTATACAGTCATTAACAATAGACATATCACTATACTATATGTCAAGTTCTTAATCTCACTATTAAGAGGGCATTTTACAGTCTTGAACAATAGACATATCACTCTATTTTAGGTCAAGTTCTTAATCGTCCCTTGTAAATGAAAATTATAAATACATTAATAACTGGGACCTTTTATAGCTTACTAGAAGGGATGGGTTTTGTCCATTGATAAAAGCCGTGCGTTAGCCTGTTCACAGCTTTTTCCTTTGGTCTGTATTGATTAATCTTTCATTGTCAAAAGTCCACATCTTCTTATTTTTATATGGATAGAAACTCTCAAAGATCTGCCATCCACATCAAATTATCCAATTAAAAATGTATATAACATAGGACCCCCACCGATGATGTTCCTTACGAGGCACTTGACTATAAGACGAGGTTGAGATATCAACACTCCTCTTGTTAAACTCGATCAATGGACAAAAAATACAAACAAGATGCGTCAAGAATGCCCAATTACATAGTGCAAAATATCGGAAAACTAGTTAAAAGTCTCAAAATGCATTTATCAATTAAAAGAAGGCAATATGATACAGCGAATGAAAGATTAAATCGTCAGTATGTTTCCTACTGAACAACCACTAATCATATTAGGAGAATCACACGAGGCAGGTATTAAAACAAACATATTGTTTATGCAAGAAATAAATCCGGATATGTGCAAACACCAATGGAGTCCATAACCATAAAAGGTAAAACGTAAATGAGTAAACAAAATTGTCCCGTTTTGTCTATTTATTTTCCGAGGGCTATCTCCTCATATTTATTTCATAAATTCAGCCATTTAGTTTTTTCTTATCAAATACTCAATACGCCCTTTTCCTGTGGAATCTAAACAAAATATATAAATTGTCTACAACCTGTAGCATGACAAAAGGCCGATAACCCATACTTTTCATTATAATTTTGAAAACAGCACGATATTATCTTCATTTGACTAAAAAGGGGGAATATACAAATATGTGGCTGAGAGCTGTGGTATCAGATATTACTTTTTCAAACTATTTCCTTGCACCAAACATCCTTTACAATAGTCTTAAAAACACTATCCTTCCAAATAATTTTTATGTTACGTTGTGTACAGGAACTTGATATACATGTCTCAATGGGAAATTCTCCCCAATTGAAAGAGTCGATAAAAAACCCAACCAGAGTTGGTTACTAAATAAGTATAGAAAGCCCATCCCCAAAACTAATTGTTATACCAATACACCAAGGTTGGATTTATCAAGTTTTAACAGGGCGTCCTTTTGTTTGCCTTCTTTACAATCATTTCGTCTTAGTTATGTTTCATCCCAAGGTAATTACTATTTGGGGGTTTAGTGGGATTTTAGCTTGCAGAAAAGGAGGATTTTTTTTCATATTGAAAAGTTTCTGATAACTTATGAAAAAATCAGACCATATCATCCCTTCGAAAATTTTACGGCTGCCATTCCAAGTTTGGTGACTATCAAAGAATATTTGTTTCTCTTTTTTTTCCAAATTTACATTTCCCAACCGATTGTGAAACCAAAATTCTCCTCACATGTGAAATTACTGTTATCGGTTAAATAATTGGTCGAAATTTCAATTATGAGGTCAAATTTTCTTGATTTTTTCTGAATTTTCTATTGTGACGTTATACAAAAGGCGACCATGCCTGATCACATATAAAGAACACAACTTTCTGGAAATCTTTGAAAAGTAAGGATGAACTTGTTTAGGTATCGTCTTCAAATCATCAGAGAAACAAATTCCATACCAGTATCATAGGCTGTCAATGCCACGAAGTCAATATTTTTTTTTGGAAGACCTTGTATATCGATGGATACAGTTCGCACTGTCGGTTTAGCTTGATAAAAATATTACGTATTTTTCGTCCTCAAATATGTATATGTTAGGCTGTTCAAATGTTTGGTCATGAGGTTACCTGCTAAAGGTTATTATTCCAAAAACACTTGTCGGATTTTTCACTCCTTTTTGCTTTTTGTGTCGTCCAATGATCGTATATAGCATATTTTCTTTAAATCTTGCCATTGTCATTGATATATAAGAGAAATCTGCAAAACTGATCATCATTCGAGTTATAAAAAAACAATAAGATTCAACGACGTTGATAAATGTCGTTAAAAGAATCACATGTGACCAAGAACAAAAAACAACATGTAATACGAAAGAGTGATTAGTAATGGCAAAAGGACTGTAGCCAGCCCCATATCTTTTTGACTATTCTAACCTAGTATTTTTACTTTTTCTTTAACAAGGAGGGGTATGATTTCTTTACTGTTCTTTTTTTCTTATTGAGAATTTGCTATGCAACATGTATACTGATTACTTATTATATGGTGGTTGGGCGTTATACTTGTTGGTGTCGACATGCTTTTTTGAACTTCTGTAGTTATATATTGCCTTGAAATGACTATGCTCAGAAAGTCTAAAATGTCTTGCAAGAGTGAAATGAACACACTCTAGATATCTATGAGATAAACTAACGAGAACAAAGAATCAGCCTAGATACAACAGTCAAACAACACATCAACAACAAAAATCACAGTTTTCCCCACGTGATCTGAAAAAATAAAAAAAAATGGCGGTTTATACAGAAAGAGAAATAAGGGTGCAAATCTGCATTCGAAATTTTAATGCGTCATTCCTATCTTGATTCAAACCTATCGATTTTGTAATGGACCGACACATATGCATCACTTATATATGGACATTCTTATTTTTCTCTGTGCAATTTGCAAGGACGCTGAGATGGCCACACGTAATCAACGAGGACAGAAGTGGTGTAATAGAATCGGAGAGCAAATCTGAAATCAAATATGAACATCCAGACTGTTGAAACTACCAGTAAATTAAACATTGGTAATTATGAAAATAGAAAAGGTATCAATAATTAATGACAATCATTATAACAATGACATTTGTTCTAGTATATAAACAGAATTTGTATTATAAATTTTAACAGATAGAATCTTTATCTGAACGTCAACAAACTGTTAATAAATGTTGATAAGTATAAAATACAAAAACTGGAAATAAGGGACAAATGTTTTGTCACTTAATAATAGTCAATATGAGAAATAAAACACGAAAACGAAAAAATACACAAAGCTGAAAAATGGAAAATGGTGGCCAAATAATTTGTTACAAAAGAAAAAAAAACGTTCAGATCACAAAAGAATGATATAAGACTGACTGTTTTTTAATTAATTATTTGTGTTATTGGTTTATGTATAATACTTCTTTAGTAATTGCGCCTTAGATATGATTGATTTACGCTAATTCATTAATTCATTTTTAAGATTACATTTTGACGAGTAGTCATATGAAACTGTGACGAACATGGTTGACTGTGTTACAATTAAGTATACATATGCATATAAATAAATCAATAATAATAAAAAAAAAACACAGAAACAAATGAAAGGAAAATGAAACAAAAACAAATAATTGTTCATAATGAAAGGAAAACTATTAACTGATAGGCATCATGAAATTGTTTAGAAATTTAATCACCTTTGTTCACCTTTGTGTCGTTCTTATATACTTATAAATTAAGGTATATAAAGAAACATAGATTAAGACATTTGCTTGTTAAAATTTTAATTAAGAGAAATAAACGAGAAAACCACCAACACGAATATAAATCGGGTAAACTTCAAATGTGAATGCATTTCAGGTCTGCATTCTTACTTTTGGTAACGTAACGAATACGTTCAATTTTATATGGATGAAGATGCAATTTAACTTTTGTACCGCGATTTGGAAATTGCAGACCCATATTTTGGGCGTCTGTTTTCTGTGTCGATAGAACTCAATATATATAATACACGATGATTTCTAGATAGGACAATGATAGCAAATTCCATTTAATTTATAAAAAAAAATGAATGTAAAGTATTGGAATATAATGGGTTATGCATAATATAGAAATATCTGGATTTGAAATATAACTATCAAATTAATTTCCTGAAAGTAGAGTGAAACTTTCGTGTAAGTGGAGAAGCATATCTTTGATTAAAGGATGATGATGATGGCACTGTTAGTCAC